CGTGGACCGGTACAAGGAGCCACTTGTGGAGATATTCTATACTGTGTACGGGGAAGAGGCGAACGCCTTCTTCAGCAAACAGCTGACGCAGAGTGTCATGGGCCAGCTGCTCAATACCGCCTCTCTCGTCGATGTGATGCCCAATCCGAACAAGGTGCTCGACTGCAACTCCACCACCGACGACGTCTGTTGGAGTCATCAAGCGCATGTACGTTGCTTTGGAGAAAGCGTTGTTTGAAAAATCTTAACATATTTGTTTCTCTGTTTCAGTGGTGCATTTTTGAGGACTTCTCCAATGTGGAACAGCTGGGCATCATCCAGTGCACCTTTGGCAAGCCTGACTCGCTGTCGGCACAGGAGAAGGTGAAGCAGTGCGTCCCGGACGAGGACAAGTGGACTGAGCTGGTCAACTGCGTCCGCGACACTATTGACGCCTCCAGTCACGCGCTGCGGATTAAAGCCGACAGACTGAACCTGCAGGTGCCGCTCACCGCTCAGTCGGCGGTTGAGGTCTTTGTAAAGGACGCCCCCAATGCTAAGGTAAAGGGAGCGAATGGCATTCTGGCGGAGATCTGCTACAACTTCTTCCACATTGACGACGAGACGCTGGGCTGCAAGGTGACACGCCCAAAGGTGCAGGTCTTCTATGAGGCCAACTCGAGGGGCATCTGGCCGGCTTTGGGCCCGCTCACTATGAACTACCCACTGCTGACGCCCTTTGAGACCATCGCCGACATTGAGTTCATTCCCTACGGTAGGACCAAGTACGAGGGCGGCAACTACACCTGCCCCAGTGATGAAAGTGGTGATGGAACAAAGCGCTGCTATGCCAACTTTATTCATGTAAGCAGGTTTCAGTTGACAACAGTTTGCCCTTTCACTCATTTGTTTACATTTCTTGTTTGTTTGTTAGGCCTGCCTCTTGAAGAGCAACTACCAGACAGTGTACGACAAGTTCCGCTTTTTCAACTTTTTCCTCTGCACGGCCAACTTTGAGGACGGCGTCGACGCCGTCGACCAGACTATAGTCTGCCTCAACCAGAACTACATCGAGGGACCGAACATGTGGGGCGAGCTGCACATGTGCGCCACGCTGGATGACGAGCTGAAGGCGGCGATGCGCAGCAAAACGGAGGGCATCAGCGGCGGAGGCCTAACGCAAATTCCTGAGATTGCCATTGACGGCGTGAAGAAGACAGCAGAAGTGGCCTCTGGCAAGCTGCTCGAGTACATCTGCAGCCAGTCATCGGCAGCTGGCAGCATCAAACCTCGAGCTTGCTCCAACATCGTCCCCGTGGCTGGCTACCTGACCGGTGAGCAGCTGCTCCAGGTGACGCTGTACCTGAGCGGCGACCAGGCGACGCAGTCTTTTGTGCAGCTTCAGTTGGGGCCGCTGATTTTAGAGGAGGTGAATGCGACGTCCAGAGCTGACAGCCGCCTTCGACTGCGTGACGTCATTGAGTGGACGGTAGTGCCCTGGGGCGCCGCCGCCTACAACAGCACCGAGCAGACGATTCAGTGCGAGGGAGGCGTAAACGAGTGCCTCGCCAATCGAGTGCTCGCCTGCGCCAGCAGACAGCCCTCCAATGGCGTCCTGGGCAATCGGGAGGACCGAACTCGGGTGGTCGCCTTTCTGCGCTGCTTCTTCACTTCGTCTGGCACCTCTGACTGGGCCACCGATCCACTGGGCGCGGCGCTGAGCTGCAGCTCACGACTCTCGCCGCTGGACAGCTGGCCGCAGCTGTGGCGCTGTGCAGTGGACGCCAGTCAGCAGTCGTTGATGTTGGAGATGCGCGATCGCACGGAGAACAACTACCCTGCGCTGAGCACCTGTAAGTGCTAGTGGTAGTGGTGATACCATGACGGATGACATTTCAATGCCGTCTAAAATTCACCCCACTTTTTAATTAATGTGCTTTAATTTCTTTTTTCTATTTTTCGCTTCAGTCCCCGCCGTAGAGATCGACCGGCAGCAGGTGCACCTTGATGGTGGTGATAGCGGCAGTCTGGTGCAGTTGCTGTGCGCCGGCTACGAGGAAAAGGTGCTGTCGGTGCTGCCTGGTGCTGATGTTCCAGTCGAGTGCCTGGATGGTGATTTCATCACCACCACGGCGAAGCCTCCAGGTGGAGGAGCTTTCCAGCTAAGCCAGTGGCCGCCTATGGCGTTCATCCTTCTCCAGTTGGCAGTTGCCCTCTTTTGTTTTCATTAAAGTTGTCATCAGTACATTTGGCTTCCCTTTATAGACACGTGTCACTCTTTAGGTGATGACGATGACGATGATCGCGTCGGTGTAAACAGTTCATTAGCAGCTTACAAAATAATTCGAACAAGAAAGCGATGAACCGGAGTGCAAAGTGATGACTGTGCAGCGGCATTTGGCAGCAGCAGCTGACTCTGACTGAGCTTGATTTTAGCTAATCACTTTTGTTGGTTCTTGTTTTCAGTTTGTCCATGTGTCATTTATAGCAATCAACATTTTATTTTATCTACTTTTCACTTAAATCTAATGCTCATCACATTTCTCACCCGTGTACTGCAACGCATGGCCAAGCCACGCGTTCACCTGCTGCTGGTCGGCGCCATCATCCTCTGGGTGGCCCTTTCAGTGCTGCTCTTTCAAATGCTCATCTTCTCTCAAAGTCCACAGCAGTCACTTCAGAAGCAGAAAAGTTACCATCGCCAGCACCAGCACAACCCCAACAAATCTATCATTCAAAGGAAATATGACGAGAAGAGGGGCGGCAAGAAGGCACGACAACTGTTGTTGCAGCAACCAATTAGCCAGTCAGTTCAGTTACCAATTGGCAATTTAATGAACCAAATCCAAGCTGTTGTTGCTAAAGCAGCCAAACCAGCTGTGCTATCGGCGGATATCAACACTGGTGACGACCCTGAACTACTGCCACTGGGTGAGCAATCACTGGGCAAAAGCTCTGACCAGAAGATGCCTCGCATGGGCGTACTGATGATCGCCTGCAACCGAACCTACTACCTTCGGCAGTCTCTTGGGCAGCTGATTGACATTCGCGCCAACACCATCAGCCGCTTTGCTGCCCGCTACGGCGGTGGAAATGTGACCAACCTGAGCCGGGAGATGCGGGCCATGCTGGCGCTGCCGCTGATGGTCAGCCTCGACTGCGACCCCAAGAACACACTGCCCACACTGCAGGAGATGGCAAAGGGCAGCCAGGGCGCGGTGAGGAAGATACTGCTCCACCCGGCGGCGATGACACCGGTGCCCGGGCTGAGCAAAGAGCAGCGCAAGCTGGAGGGCTACTACCGCATCGCCCGGCACTACCACTGGGCGGTGGGCGCCGCCTTTCGCTCCTTCAAGGGCGCCATCGACCAGTTGNATTCGCCGCTCGCTACGGCGGCGGAAATGTGACCAACCTTAGCCGAGAGATGCGGGCCATGCTGGCGCTGCCGCTGATGGTCAGCCTCGACTGCGACCCCAAGAACACACTGCCCACACTGCAGGAGATGGCAAAGGGCAGCCAGGGCGCGGTGAGGAAGATACTGCTCCACCCGGCGGCGATGACACCAGTGCCCGGGCTGAGCAAGGAACAGCGCAAGCTGGAGGGCTACTACCGCATCGCTCGGCACTACCACTGGGCGGTGGGCGCCGCCTTTCGCTCCTTCAAGGGCGCCATCGACCAGTTGATAGTGGTCGAAGACGACCTCACCTTCTCGCCGGACTTTTTCGAGTACTTTCTCGCGCTGGGGCCGCTGCTNACCCCAAGAACACACTGCCCACACTGCAGGAGATGGCAAAGGGCAGCCAGGGCGCGGTGAGGAAGATACTGCTCCACCCGGCGGCGATGACACCGGTGCCCGGGCTGAGCAAAGAGCAGCGCAAGCTGGAGGGCTACTACCGCATCGCCCGGCACTACCACTGGGCGGTGGGCGCCGCCTTTCGCTCCTTCAAGGGCGCCATCGACCAGTTGATAGTGGTCGAAGACGACCTTACCTTCTCGCCGGACTTTTTCGAGTACTTTCTCGCGCTGGGGCCGCTGCTGGCGGCGGACCGGTCGCTGATGTGCGTCAGCGCCTGGAACGACAACGGCAAAAGCTGGATGATTGAACCGGAGGATGAACACGGTCGGTCCACCCTTCACCGGACCGACTTCTTTCCTGGCCTCGGTTGGCTGCTCAGTCGGCGACTGTGGGAGGAGGAGCTGGCGGACAGCTGGCCGGCCGCCTTCTGGGACGACTGGCTGCGGCACTGGACGCGAATGCGCAACCGAACCTGCATCAGGCCGGAGATCAGCCGCACCAGCACCATCGGCGAGAAGGGGGTGAGCAAGGGCCAGTTCTTCAGCGATCACCTGCAGCACATTCAGCACAGTCGCGGCTATGCGCCCTTCTTCGAGGTGCGCCACCGACTGTGGCACCAGCTGAAGGTGGCCAACTACGAGACGACCTTTCGCCGGACTGTCTACGAGAACAGCAAAGAGATTGAGCCCTATCGAATGAAGTACCTGCCAGAAAGCAAAGAAAGCAACTCTACCTATCGTATCACCTACTACACTCGTCGGGAGTTTGAGCACATTGCCGACATGTTTGGCCTGATGAGAGACTTTAAGGTGGGCGTGCCGAGAACTGCGTACATGGGCGTAGTCAGCTTCATCTACCACGGCTATCGAGTGTTCCTGGCACCGCCGGACACGAGAAAAGCCTACATTAAAGAGTGGAACTGAGCAAACGGAGAGACACCACATCTTTTTCTTCCTTTTCTACTTCACCTTCTACACAAAAGTTTTTTTGCAAATCTGCATTGTACTTTTAAAACTTTTACAACAGTTAACTTTATTTTTGTCAATAAAGGTCTAGTTTAAAAATTTAACGAAAACATAACAGAGATAAATCTTCGTCTACCACTTGCCACTTTACCATCACAAATCTTTCACAAGCGCTAAGACGTATGGCACAGAGAATTTGTCAACAATTTGTTTGATGTTTTATGGAAGACATTTTGTTTAACGAAAGTACAAAGGTGGGCTTAGGGTTGCAGTCGTTGGACGCTCCACTCCTTCTCCTTGTCACCGCCATTCACTTCTTGCTGACCATTGACCGGCGGTGGAGATCGCGTAAAGACGAGTCGGTCGTGCAGTCGATCTGATTGCCCCTGCCAGAACTCAAACCGCTCTGGAATGATGTGAAATCCGCCCCAGAAGTCAGGTCGCGGAATGTGCTCTTCAGCTGCCCACCGATCTGCCTCCTCCTTTTGTCGTTTCAGCAGCGTGTCACGGGAGTCCACCGGCTGAGACTGGGCGCTGATACGGGCCGACACCTGAGAGGCTCGAGGTCGCTGGCCAAAGTACTCGTCTGATTCGGAGGCGGGCACTCGTTTTGCCTTTCCCTCCACTCGAATCTGACGGCTGAGAAAGTCCCAGAAGAAGAGTAGTGCGACGTTGGGGTTCTCGTCCTAAGTTGAAAGGAAGAGGATCATTAGAGCAAACTAAAACTTATTGTACGACAAAAGCTTACGATTTCAGAGCCCTTTCGACTTTCGTAGTTGGTGAAGATGGTGAAGCCATTCACTGGGTCGTAGCTTTTTAGAAGTACCATACGCGATGAAGGTTTGCCTTCCCTGAAATTATTTTTTTCAATCAGTCAATCAAAGTTTTGGCAGGCGAATTCAACAACTGAAAACTTACTTGGTGGCAGTAGCCAGACAAACGGCATTGACCTCGGTGTAGGACTTTTCGCTTGCCTTGGCCGCCTCGAACCACTCGTGAAAGATATCAAATGGATTGCTCATCTTTGGGAGAATGTCATTCTCCAGAAGAACCTCCTTCTTGTCGTGGTACGCCTTGCGCATTGCTAGTGTAAAGCATTTAGCGTTGGCATTAGGCATTGACAACAATTTGGTGTTTGAAGTTGACAACAACAGTTCAACTGCAACAGTGCTTACCTCTCAGGTCGGCTGACATGCTGCGGATGACAACGGCTGCTGCTGCTGCTGGCGGTGAAGGAAGAGGAAGAAGACTCAGGGGAGACTTCAATCTGGCGGACGAGTAATGGTAAGTTGAAGAAGGTAAAAGTGGTGAGGCTGCTGCTGCTCCCTTTACTGTTGCTCTACAACAACAGACACTGCTGAGGACTCTGCCCGCAAGCATGCCGAAGAGGAATTATTGCCCGTTCTAGCACCAGACACCAGTGATGATCATCAGTAGAGGCACCACCACAACCACCACAGGCAGCACTAATCATGGCCGTGGTGATGATGATGAGGATGGTGATACTATGCGATAGTCAACACTCAAGCACTTCTGGCATTTAGAATGACCGCCTGGGACATGGCAGGTGGCCTCCACACAGCTTTGTTTTGCAGTGGCACTGTACTAAAAATGCCACTGCCAATGCTGCTGCTGCTGCAGTTGCAGTGCACTGCAGGCGAGGAGGAGAGGAGGTCGAATCAGAATGCTCACAACAGTGCACCAGTGCAACGGCAGTGCATGTGCAGAAATGNGAAAATGCCACTGCTAATGCTGCTGCTGCAGTTGCAGTGCACTGCAGGCGAGGAGAGGAGGTCGAATCCGAATGCTCACAACAGTGCACCAGTGCAACGGCAGTGCATGTGCAGAAATGAAAATAGAAAGGGAAATATTTGAAAAGTCGCGCAATCGTAGTGTGCAGAAAGAAATGGGCTAAAGGTAGAAAAAGCTAAGTTTTACCGATTTTTCAGCAGTTTTGTTGCCGCTGCCGCCAACTTGAACATAGGAGCAGGAAAATGTGACTGATGACTGAAAACTGCTGGTGCCAGTGCTGGTGCTGGTGATGCACCTTGCACCACACTACGCTTCACCACTTATATAATTGATACATCATGCACTTTGGGTGTTGCTTTATCATTTAAAGGTGATAGTCTGCAGCAAGTGCATCGCACCAGCAGGAACGCCATTGCCTCTTTAAAGGGAAAGAGAGTGTTTGGCGCGCTCTTTTTGTCTGCTTGGTGACGATGATCAGTTGATGAAGAAAAGGACACTTTGTTGTCAGTTTGCTGAAAAAAGCACTTTGTATAGGTTGGGTTACGCTAGTGCTGATCCGATGATCGATTGAAATGATACTTAGAGGTCGGCAGTGGTGGTGGTGGTAGCAGCTGCTCACCAGTGATCCTGAACATGTACACTACAGTTTTCACATTAATAGTAATAAAATGATCATCAAAAGTTGAACATAAACATCCTGACAAATGATGTGCACAAATATTTGCGGCACAGAGGAGCGGAGATGTGTGCCTGCCTTCACCACTATTAGCACAAATACTGCGTCCTAATTAGTAGTGCGGCACCTCATCGGGCGCCGGGATGACGCTGTCCAGCGATACGTCCAGCTTCTCCGTCTTGCGCGGCTCAAAGTGCACATAGGAACCGGTGGAGAGGAGGGCGCCGCCGCCGCTCTCCTTGATGGCGCTCTTCCCACCACCACTAACTCCTTGGGAGTCCGAGTTCTCGCTGCAGACGATCACCGACTTGGGCGGCAGCTTCATCAGCTGCTGCGGCTTGCAGCTCTTCCGACTGGCCACTCTGGCCTTCTTATCTGAACTTCTCGTCTGTTTCCGCTTTTGAGGCCGTGTGGCATTGCTCTTGATGGTCTTCTTGTTGCTGGTGAGCGTCTTCTTGCGTGACTGCGCCGACTGGTAGCCGTTTTCAGTTGGACCAGCAGCAGCCCCAGCAGAAGAGGAGACAACACTGCCGGCTGGCACCTCGGCGGCAGCACTGGCGTCATCATTTTGCGTCTTTGATTCAGCGCACAGCAGTGCAAAGAGGAGAATCGCCATCAGAAGGATGGAAAGGAGTAACAACATCTCATGGGTACTGAAGGCATCACTCAGGTAGACTGATTGAAGCATGTTTGCTGAACGGAAAACCCCCTGAAAAACTAAGGCAACCTAAGTAAGAGCACTTATATTGCAAAGAGCCCAAATGTTCGAAATGTCAAGTCAGTTGTTGTTGTTTATTTAGAGCCCCCCGTGTCCTGCAACCATGCGGTAGTTCATGTGAAGGACGCTGCCGGTGGCCAGGCTGGTCAAGTTGAGGCTCAGTCCAGTGAATGTAATGTAGTTTGTCGCCTGCTTGGCGTCCCTCTTCATCTCCTTGGCGCCTTCCTTCCAGCTGAGNACCCCCCGTGTCCTGCAACCATGCGGTAGTTCATGTGAAGGACGCTGCCGGTGGTCAGGCTGGTCAAGTTGAGGTTCAGTCCAGTGAATGTAATGTAGTTTGTCGCCTGCTTGGCGTCCTTCTTCTTCTCATTGGTGCCCTCCTTCCAGCTAAGCTCATAGGTGACGCCCGGACCGACAATTTTCTTGAAGGGGCCGTGAACTCGAATCTCCTCGACGATCACTTTCTCCCCGGTGGTGGCGGGAAGGCCACTGTACTCTGCAGTAATGTTCAGCGAGGTGTGCCTCGTCAGCTCAAAGGTGTAGTAGTTGTACTTCTTCGCTGTGATGCTGTCCAACGAGTCGCCGTCGTCCCAGTACAGGTCACCAAAGGCATTTGCCTGGTCTTCGCTCGGGTACACGTCCAGGCGTAGTGGCTGCTGGCGGAGCACTTTAGTGTTCAACACCGGAGTGCTGCCATTGTTGGCGTTGGTGATCGCCACGGGGATGATCGNAGTATAGTAGTTGTACTTCTTCGCTGTGATGCTGTCCAACGAGTCGCCGTCGTCCCAGTACAGGTCACCGAAGGCACTTGCCTGGTCTTCGCTCGGGTACACGTCCAGGCGCAGTGGCTGCTGGCGGAGCACTTTAGTGTTCAGCACCGGAGTGCTGCCATTGTTGGCGTTGGTGATCGCCACGGGAATGATCGACCCGGCTCGGTAGTAGACGGGCGCCACTGTACGGCTGTCCTCCACGGTCACGTAGCCAGAGTTGCCCTCCGTTTCGCCGTCAATGTTGAACCACCAGGTGTCATTGGGCAGGTAGGCAGTGAGGGTTTTTTGTTTCTACAAAAAAGAAGAAAAGGATAAAAGGTTGAACAACAACAACTAAAGCTCTCCAGTTTTTACCTCGTGCAAAAAGGGCGCCACCAACATCGACCGGCCGACCATGAACTGCTCGTCAATGGCCAGCGTCCGCGGGTCCTTGGTGAACTCGTGAAAGAGCGGCCGAATGACCGTCTGCCCTTTGGTGGCCGCGTGGAAGAAGAGCGTGTAGAGGTAGTGCAGGTGNGAAAAAGGAATGAAAAAGGCTGAACGACAAAAACAACTAAAATTGCCCAGTGCTTACCTCGTGCAAAAAGGGCGCCACCAACATCGACCGGCCGACCATGAACTGCTCGTCAATGGCCAGCGTCCGCGGGTCCTTGGTGAACTCGTGAAAGAGCGGCCGAATGACCGTCTGCCCTTTGGTGGCCGCGTGGAAGAAGAGCGTGTAGAGGTAGTGCAGGTGGGCGTACCGAAAGTCGAGCGAGCTCTTCGCCGCCGCCGTCACCTCCGGGTGGCCGTACTCCACCCAGACGCCCGGGTCCTGGTCCACCTTGCTGGGAATGTCATTGTGGTTCCGGCTGAAGGGGTAGAAGGCGCCCAGCTAAATGGTGAGGTCCAAAACAGTACAGTTAGTTAGCAGTTTCTCAACTGTTATATAAATAAACAGCTCACCTGAGACC